ATGCGATATGTAGATAAAGTGTATCCATTCTTGCCACGTTTCCGTTCAAATTTGAAATCTCTGATGCAACGGAATTTCATTGGTTTGATTCGTATCAGCATCTTCCTATATCCTATCTTCTTAACTTTCCTCTTCTTATGAATCTGGGTAATTTTGAATGTACTTCTCTCTTGCTTTTCTTTTTTGTCTTCATTTGAATTTCATTGGTTTAATTCGTATCAACATCTTCCTATATCCTATCTTCTTAACTCTTCCTCTTCATATGAATCTGGGTAATTTTGAAGATCCTTCTCTATTTCTCTTTCCTTTCATTTTTTTTTCTCTCGGTAGCGGGGTTAATTTTCTATGCTTTCTCTTGATTTTCTTTTCCTTTTCTTTTTCTTTCCTCTTTCCTTTTTTTGTTGATTTCTTATATTCTTTCCTTTTTTTTATATAAATCCTTTTTACCTTTTATGAATAATTTTCCAAAAGCAACAAATGAAGTAGTCTTTCATTAGTAGCAAGTTTGAATAAAATTGTTAACAATTATTACCATCATTGTTAGCCACCTGAAGTTTGTTTTTAAAGTTGAAACAAAATATACAATTTTGTAGTGGATATTTACATGTTCTAATGGAACAGTATATATAGAGAAGACCACGGGAGGGTAATGGATAGCGGCTCGGAATGAGGAATCGGTGAGCCGAGTTCGAATTCCAGTCGTGCTAATACCCTTGAGAAAGGTGTGGATCCTCTTCTTCTCCCTCCAGCTATGGGTAAAATAGCCTTGGATGGCAGATGAAGGACAACTCTGTATTCAAAATCTGCTGAGGGTTCTTTGGGTACATTGTGGCACTTAGTGCACCAGGTCTCTGTAATCGGTTCTTCAAAAATTGTGGATGGTCCTATACAAAACCTTCACCACTATAATCAAGTCTCATTTGCTGTTGTCGGGCTGTCGGTTTCTAGGAACTGATCTGTTTGACCCGCATATTCGATGGTAGAGTCGTATATATATATATATATATATATATATATATATATATATATATATATATATATATATATATATATTTACTATAAAATAAATTATATTAAAAAGTTAAAATCTTCCCTGTATATTAATATTCTTTCTTTTTTTATTTCATTTAGAATCCTCGACTAGTTTCGGCCATCATCAGGAGAATTTTTTTTTTGTTGGCTGGTAGCAGTGAAATACAGACTATATATATACAATCATACATATATATATATATATATATATATATATATATATATATATATATATATATATATATATATATATATATTGTTTCCGCCGATCGACGTTACTTGTCGATTGTAGTATAACTACGTGTATGTTGAGAAAAAGATTAAAATAAGCATTTAATTTATCTGAGTTCGATAAAACAATTAACTGTCGGAAATTAGTTTTGATGAACTCGCTGTAAAAATAATGACTGATATTAAACAATATTTGTTTAAAAAACTTATTTTTCATTGCATTTCTTTTATTATTGTCGCAATATGTGTTTTTTTATTATCTTTTAAAATGATATACCGCTTATTGAGTTATTGATTTAGTTTTCGTTTTGTTTCAATTCCACAACAAACTGACTGCATTTCAATTCCTTTCCAATCATGGACTTTTACGAGATCTTTTTTGGAGCCAATCCAACTCATAGCTAGGACCTCTGAGAATTAAGAAAAAAGAATATATGGACAAGATCTTTCTGTAATTCTGCGTATTATAGGCTTAAGTTCATCAATACAATACTGGGTCCTGAAAAGGTCGCAGCCAAAACGACTTTACAAAATGTAACGACTTTGCCAAAATTGAGGGTTTTTTTGTGGTGGGGGAGATGATTTTTTGGTTCGTCTAGAACTTCTGGGCAGCTAGTTTTCTTTCCTGCTGACATAAATTAGCTGTGCTTACTGGGTCTGTCTATATTTGTGAGATAAGGTATTATGTACATTATTTACATTATTCGGAATATTGTCCTCATCTTTGTCTTTAGATTTATCACAAATTTTAAGCCGTTGTACGCTCCGGCCTTCTTCAGGTCTTTGGAATTTCGTAACTGAACCTTTATTTCGCTCATTTGGGTAGACTATTCTAGTTCCACGTGCCATGTTTGATGGATTTCAGTTATCAGTTATCTCCTGCTAATTTCCCTCTGGAAGATCTCCAATGCCTTAATCGGGTATTGAACTCATACTCTTCGGGTCCTGTCGCTGGATCTAACCAACGCCTTTATCCACTGTGCCATGTATCCTCAAGGACACATAGCACAGTGACAAGACCCAAAGTGCGTGAGTTCAATACCCGGTGAAGGCAGTAGAGAACTTTCAGAGAGAAAATTAACAGGAGATAACTGATAACTGACATCCATTAAAACATGGCACGTGGAACTAGAACAGTCTACCCCAGTGAGCGAAATAAAGGGTTCAGTTCGACAGTCCAACCACCTGAAGAAGGCCGGAGCGTACAACGGCCGAAACGTTGTGATAAATATGGCGACAAAGATGCGGACAATAGTCCGAATAATGTAAATAATTTGCTTACTAGGTTTGGTATATTCAATTAAACAAAAAGTGAATTTGTTTTGCCAATTATATGTTTATGAATTAAATGCACGAATATTATATCTAAAGTTGTTTGAGGAGTGAATAAGAATGAAGCAATAATAAAAAAACAAGCGATATGCAGATTATTATATTATTATCATATGTAATGTTACCTTGTAGCGTTCGTTAAATATGCAAGAAAAATAGATACGTAAAATAATAATGTATTTCCTTCTGGGTTCTATCAATTTATGTTTGGCTAATCAAGGGTATGTGTTTTAAAACTTTCGATCATCTTCTCATGAGTATGTGAGGGATTACAATTTTCTTTTGCAGGCGGGGAGTTTATATAACTTTCTGTAATCATGTCTTGTGTTTGCATATTTGGATGTATGTTTATTTAGATTGACATGTTGTTTACGTCAGCAAAATCATTGATATTATTTGCAGCCTGATTCCAGACTTATTCTGATGAACTGTCCCCTACGGTACCTAGTGTTGTAGTTTTTTGGATATTATGTAACTAGTGAGCTAGCCCAAATGACTTGACTCACTTTATAGTCCACCAATAGAAGGTTAACCAATCAGAAGATGAAAATATTCAATCCGTCGTGTATAAAGGTGGCCATTTTGTTTACTCTATCCGAATGTCCAGTGCCAACTTGTCAGGCGAATAGGAACAGAAGGAAGAACTACTGAACTACGCTCTGCTACTTTTACCGGGATATCTACTGCTAACCTGAACAACGCTTCCCTACTGTCTTCGAAATATTCACTGCTAACCTCTGGATTCTATACTCGAAGACGACCGTCATCATGAACAACACCTAGATTTTATTAATATAAGCACAGTATTGAATGGCTGCACGAACTCAGCAATTTACAGTTAACATTACTAGGTACAACCGTAAGTTCTATGTTAAGCGTTTCTTCTATCGGACTTCTCGCTTCCGGCTTCGTGCTTCCCAATTTGATCATCAAAAATTTAAATGCAATGTCAATCGTTATCTTTGTTTCCCTAATTCTTATTCTTCATTTGTCCTCCCAAGTTAATAGAAGTTTTTTTTTTTTCTCAAACAGTTCGTAACCTCTTGCGTCCGAAGACGAATCTGAAATGTTATAGGTCGTGAACAGGGGTCTCTTTCACACTGCAGTGACGTAGGTGTCTTATCTATAAGCAATTTTATGGTAATTGTTTTGATGGACTTTCCTCTATGATTCCTAGGTTTTAAGAACTTAAGCGCAATACTTGATTGGCTGCAAGGTCTCAGCAATTTACAGTCGACATCGCTAAATGTAACCGTTATTTCTGTACGAACAGTTTCTTGTATCGCACTTCTTGTTCATGGGACTCTCGTCCGGTTACTTGCATCCATGTCAACACCGATCTTCAAAAATTTAAATACAATATCAATCGTTATCTTCTGTCTTCTTAATTCTTATTCTATTGTTGCCCATCTCTCGTTAATAGAAGTTTTCATATTCTATAAAAATTATAAACATCTTGCGTCTTAGTGGCATTATTGACAAAAATCCTTCCCATCAATAAATACTTGTCTAGAATGATCATTGTACAAGAATAAATGAAAAGGCATGTGTAAGGATGGTACGAATTGCCAAGTACAGACATTCTTAGATAGAGAAATTCCAGAAAATGATCAGATGGATAGAAAGAACGAATAGTGATTCTTCTTCGACCACGCAACATGATTACGTCTTTTTTGGTCGCCTCTATATCTTCTGAGTACCACCAGATATATCATGTCGCCCTATATTTCCCTTCATTAGTCAGAGGTTAAACACCACTGCATATTTCGACGTTTTTTGTCAGATCATTCTAAGATGTTTTACAACGTAACCCATGTCGCATATTACCGGCGAGTATTCCAGGAGAGGATGCCGTCAAAGCAGAGCATCCTCCTTACAAATGGAATGCGGAGTCGACTCTAAGTACGAAGCTGGGAGAGTCCTAGTTTTGAATGTCTGAATTGGTGGAACTAAAGAAGGTAGTTTCTCTGAATATCGAAGATGTAAATCGAAATGTTTTTTTTTTCCTCTGCTAAACTAATTCCTAAAACCCAGGTCGCATGGTTGGATCACCGGCGAGTAAGCCGGAAGAAGATGCCGTCAAAGTAGAGCATCTTCCTTACGAATGGAATACAAACAGAATGAGGAGTCTACTCTATGTACGCAGTTGGGAGATTACTAGTCGTGAATGTCTGAACTGGTGGAACTAAAGAAGGTAGTTTCTTTGAGTATCGAAGATGTAAATCGATATGATTTTTTCCTCTTCTAAAACTTATTCCCCATTAAGGCTATAGATCAGAGTCTACATTAAACCTTACTGATAGCTAAGTAAATGAATTAGAGCATTTTACAAGTCTCCAGCATTAGACCAAATAAAAGGCAACAAACAAGAATTTAAACTTAAAATTCCAATTTCATATACCGCA